TTCCTGAAGTGGTGCTATATCCACAGCTAACAGCTGGATTAATATGACTCCTGGGCTATCCAACATGGATCTGTGTGGGTCTGAAAGGCTGGGACCAGTGAAGGGCTTTGGCTGGAAAAGGTGACTAAGACCAAGTAATTCTTACCAAGGGATGATGTCAAATTGGGTTATACATCTGTAAGGGTGATGTCAGATGAGGCTGCAAATCTACAGAGGCACTTGACTTTAGTGCCTGCTTGCTGAGTAACTCTTTTCTTTGAGCTCTGCAGGATAGCTCTGGCTTCCCATCTGACACTGAAAATTCAATCATATGCAAAAGAAACATGCTCTGCCAGTGTTTCACACTGGAAGTGGATTGATGGTGGTTGCTTTTGTTCTATTAAAAATATCCTCTGCACACAGCTGGGCATCTGGGAAGCTAGAGCATCACTTTGAGGAATACACGTGGCATTTTGTCTTCGCAAGAATGATGTATCATAAATGAAACTTGAGCTGGACTTAATTTCTCCATGTTGTTCCAGGTACTTGCTAATACCTCCCATAATTTCTGATGGTTCTCTGAATTGAAAATGGTTATGGAACCTCTCAGAACCTGTAAGAGAAAAAGGAATCCATACTGTAAGGCAAGATCTGAATCTTTCCAACTCCACAGCAGCTCTGATCCAAATCTTAACTTACTAGCCACAACCCAATAAATAGTTTGTTCTTTTCTGCACAATGTGCTATTGTAAGGCTGCCCAGAACATGAAGGTGTAAGTTTTCACTTGAAAAAATAAATACAAGCCTCCTCAGCAGCTGCAGTTAGCCAGTATGTGTATCCTTAAATTGAAAGGGAGCATCTTCCAGCTGGAGGGTGGCCTGTGATGAAGGCACATGGTGTGATTTTTGGGGATGTCCTGTGCAGGGCTAGGATTTGGACTCAATGATCCTTGTAGATCCCTTCCAACTCAGAATATTCTGTGAAGAAGTGTTACTTCTGTATAGCTTGCACTGGTGTCTGCTTCAAAGGTTTTATTTTTAGCAAAATTTTATTGGCTTGATGTGTCGGGAAAATAGAGACAACATATTAGCAAAAAATTCCTATACCGGTGCAACCTGTAACTCCACAGAAAGGCCTTCTAATTAAAGCTCCAGTGCTTTCTCTCTAAGATGTACAGCTGTGTTTCTTTCCCCTGTGAACCATCAAGAGTGAAACAGCCATCTAAAATCTTTATTATTCTGAAACAAAAATATTTCAGAGAAAGTGTGTGAGCCCAGTCTGTATCCCTGGAAGGTACTGTGTATGCAGTGGACCCCACCAAGTAATGGCTTTCTGCCTCTGGTGTTCTCCTTGCATGGCAATTCCACAATCCTCTTCCAGCAATTAATTACTTTCTCATTTTTTCATGACCAATTTAGGCCAATTTGTTTTCTTGCAAGCATCAACCTTTACCAATACATTAGAGGGGAAATAATGCCCAAAATTAGACAGGAGTCAAAATTCCCCTTTTGCTCTCATTTGAACAAGTGAAGTCCTTTCAGTCTCCTGTCATACTGTGGGTTAGCTATACCTGTGACCATCTGGGTTTTATGACACTGTTTTCTTGATCCCAAAATTTCTGACCAGAATAAGTAGGTTTTGCATCTGTCAGAAGTAACACTAAAGAACCTTTAAGCTGACCCTTAGGACATCACTCCTGTTTGTGAGGCGGGTTGCTTAGACCTGTTCTATTGTTCTCTACTCTCCTTTAGACAGGCCCCCATCTTCATTAGATTAGTACAGACATAAAGGAAATGTTAACAGAATGACTGTTAGTACAGATTACAGTGTCCAGACACCAGCAGTTACAAAATGCACCTTGCTGCTATCTACTGCCCTAGCATTGCTGCCTCCTGCCTGTGTTTAACTCTTGGTCACTTGACAAAAGCAACTTGCACTTTCCTTCCCTCAGACCGCTGAGTTTAAAGAACTTGCCGTAACTACTCAGTCCCTTGCTGAGTAGTAAACCCATTCCCTTTCCCCCCAGAGGAAATTTATCTCATTTTTTTGATGTTCAAAGCTAAAAACCTCTTTACTCTCTTGGTCTGTGTAAAGTAAAAATAAGTAAAGAAGTAAAGGATGAAAATCTGCTTTTTCTCACTGTAGGTTACTGTTGCCAGATTTTTGCATCACTGGTGCAGTACAATAGCAGGGGCACTGGATCACCCTTACATGGGAACTCTGGCTTTTCACTACACTCTTGAAGTGATGCCATTGGGGCCAGAATCCTTTTTACTCTTTGCATAACGTAATTCCAGGGCAACTTTTCCCTCTACTCTTCATGAGTAATATTTCCTTCTTGGTGCAGTGTGTGGAATGGTGTCTACAGCATTAATACTTCTCTTCTGCAATGCAGTGTTTTAATCAGGAGTTGGAACTGAGGTGGGACAGAGGCAGTATCTGCTGTTCTCCCCTCTTTTCCACCCTCTGCCTTAGTATCCCTCAGAGATGGGCTTTGCTGCTGCTCAGGACATGTCCTGTCTGGGACCAAAAGTTCAGTCAAAGCCAGGGTGAGAGAAAGTAACAAAGCACTGAGTTTGCTGACTCTCTCATCTAGTGATCAATAGTGACTTTTATCAGGGACCTGCATCTCTAATTTCTCTGATACTGAATGCAGTCTGTGAGCCTGAGGCAGGCTGTCTGCATTTCCTCTATTTAAGATCCTTCCAAGTGCCTCTGACCATATAAAGTTAAGTGAACCTGTGTCTGGTGATGTGATCTAGCCTACACTATGTCCCAAGTTTCTGATCCCTGGGGATGAGAGAGGAGCATGTGTCTGCACTGTGTCACTTCTGAATAGCTGTATTGGGAAGGGCTGACATCCAGCAATTACAGCTTCAAAATCGATACACGGAGGACGGCACAGGTTAAAACAGGAGCAGATGCCTCAGCATCTGTAGCACACATGCCATACAGCATGCATGTGTCTGTACTGGTTATATGATGCACCAAAAACCCAAATGCTTTAGCAGCTATGATTCTTCCACAAATCCTAATCCTGGAGGGGAGGCAGGACGCAGGAAGGACCAATATGATGCTAATGTGCTTTCCTGTGGATGTTACAAAATACAGGGGTTCTTTCAGAGGACTTTGTATCTATGCAAGGAGGAAGGGTTTCAAGGGAGGAATAATGACGAAGGAACCAGATTAAAAAGCTTATTGTGGGAGTACTAAACAGGAGATGAATGTAGACTCACCCGAGCTGTGTGACGTATTTCTCTGTGTTGTGGCCAAGAAGGAGCTGGCACCTAAGAGACAGAGCAGAGACTGTGCTTGCCACATCTCCACGATGCAGCAAGGCATGGAGGCAAACAGAATTTTGTGTTCTAACTTTGGTCAGCAATGGCTCTTTAAGGCTGAGCAAGGCATGCAGCATGGACACTGCCCAGTCCAAACCCAGCAGCCACGTGAACTCTCCCCAGGTGGGCAGTGCCAGGCTGCCACAGCAAAACCTCCCTCCCCTGCCCCGATGGCAGAGGGATTCTGATTGAACTTGCTGGCTCCCACTCACTCTGCCCTCATTTTCCTCAGGACAAATGAGAAGAACCTGTCTCCAAGTGCAAGATTTTGGGAATATGTGTCAGAGATGCCTGACAGTAAAACATCCGTCTTGCCCTAATTTCTACGTGAAGTGCTGCAATGTCGAGTGAAATAACCTTCCAGGCTGGCTCTGGTGCAGAGGTATTTTGGCTTATGTTATTGCTGAGAGCTTTCTTTCTGATGAGCTCTTTCTGCCTCTCTGTGCTTCTGATGTCTGACTCTCTTCACTCTTTTTTTCCCTTGGGCTGGGATGTGTGCTGTTTGTAATGCATCAGGAAGTAATACGCAATGAGGAAACTCTCATCATCTGTGCATCAGGGAGAGAATTACTGACTGAGTGCTGAGCAGTCAAGTTATTGATTCAAACCAAAGCCCAGTCTCTCTGTCTGCTGGGCTGGTTACGTCCTTCTGGTTCATTGCGTTTAATCGGATTCCCTCAGCTGCCACACAGAAGGGGAGAGTTAGAAGCAGATCCATCTATAATGTTCTCTTCAAAATCCAGTTCGGTATCCCCTTCTCCATCCATGGAACAGGCTGATTCAGATGCTCTGGACATCAGCACCAAAGTGCAGCTGTATGGCGTGCTCTGGAAGAGACCCTTCGGGAGGCAGTCGGCCAAATGGTCCAGGAGGTAAGCCACAGTTGCTGAGGGATGCTCGGGTGAAATACTAAGCCTAAGGGTTCTGGGATAAGTTAGAGCCTGAGTGCTTGTCTCTTCAAGTGCAGCTAGCCAGGCAGAGGCTAGGGGTAAAACTGTGGGCATAGCTTCCCTCCTGTTCTGAGTCGGCTTTACACACATGGCACCCCATTGTTCTCCTTTCTTTATCTGTCCAGACCTTGTGCTGTGTGCACTTCAGGGAACAGGGACTAGCTGCCTCCTCTGGATAATTATCTTATGATAGTTGCACAAAAGAGGAAGAGTCCGCTCATATATTTTGCCCCGAAACTGCTTGCCTTTGTTCTTTAGCACTCATTAAAGCTCTGAGTCCTTTGGGTGTGAGATGGCTAGGCTGAACTAACAGTGCCTGTGAGTCTGTATGTGTGTGTGTGTGGTCTGCAGGGGTTTGTGGACCAGCATCAGAACTGCTGTGCTGCCTGATAGTGATGGCACACTTGGAACAGCACATGAACACTTTTCCCTGGGGAGAAAGTGGCACTGAAGTTTCCTCCATATGGTGTTAGAGAGTTGTAAGCTCCTATGTGTTGTCTGTCAGCAGCCAGGAAGTTTGAAGCTGGAAAGCATTTGCTATAACCTTTTACCAAGGACAGAATTATCTTTTATAATACTGAAGTGATAGGTCAGTTTTTAAGTTTAGAGTTGGTGTATTTCTCTGTGCAAATCACTGAATCTCTGGTACTTACCTTTTGTGGGTAAGTACTTACTCTTTGCTGCAGTCTGTAGTGTGGACACAACAATCCATTTCTAAAGCAAATTTTTCTGGTTTTGCTCTGTGTAGTAACCACACTGCTGTCCAATCTAAACCTGTGAAGATGGCATAGCCTAGAAAATAGTTAAACAGTCCTTGGGAAGCAGTTTTATGTTTGTAGCCATCTTTGACCTGTGTGCAGGTTCTATTCCCTTCCTTTCCTCCCCCCAGTGGCCTATTTTCATCCAGGAATGAATTTGTGCTGATGCTCCCTACTCAGTTCCCAAATATTGATATTTAAATGAATTATGTCTGGAAACTAAAGTGTCTGTGTTACGGAAAAGAGGCAGACAGAATTACGGAGGGGAATGTAATTTGCCATGGAGGAGACATTCTTAAAGGGCTTTCTTCCTAATAAAACTTTCTTGCAGGCAAATGGCCCATTTCTGCTCTCTCTGTCATTATTTATTTAGTGCTGCTCTATTCCTAGAAGTCACCCCCATCTTTGGCAAGTGGTAAATATTTCAGTACTAGCAAGTGGGAAGAGATGGGGAGGTGACAGGGATGATATGGAAGATAAGTTGCAAGCACAGCAGCAGAGGGTCCTGGGGGTCAGTGAGAGGTGAACACAGGGAATCTGTGGGGTTTGGAAGGAAGTGGGTTCTGGAGTTAAAAGACTGGGACAGTAGGCACAATATGGTCGGGTGTTTTTTTATCATGGGAGAGACTTGCTTTTAAGTGAAGTACCCTTGCATGTTATTAGAAGTCAATCATTATGTGGGGATAAGGAGCAACTCACCATTCTCCCTACTTATCCCCCCATTCCCAGCAACACATAGCTGGTCAAGGGCTTTTTTTTTTTATTATTAAGGAGAAGAAATGTTTCCCACTCCAGTTAAATAAGGAAAAAAAAATTGACTATTGCTTGATGTAGCTGAGGATCTGATCTCTGAGCAATGTAGGTTTTGCCCTGACATCTTGGACTGGACAACAGTCTTGGTCCCGAGGAAAATCTTTCCAAGATATGGGAGGTAAACCAGCTTGTAAGGGGAGGATGGATCTCATCAGGCCATCAGCCATGAAGACAGGTTTACGTGGCTGTTGGGAGATGCATGAAGTTTGCTGGCTTGATCCCATTCATTTGGCTGTAGCAGCAATGCTTCTGCAGACACTGAGAAGAAAATCATGTGTTTGAGGGAAAGATGGAGTCTGACTAGATTATGGATCAAGGTAAAAAGATCCTGGCATGGTGTGCAGGGCTTTGGTGATTGAAATCCCAAGGCTGGGAATTTTGCAGCAGTAGAGGTTATGCTGGGAAAAGGGAGGTGTAGCAGAGTCTTATTTTAGTCAAATGGCACCTGTTAGGACAGCACAACTTGACATGAGGCAGCTGTCTGGAGCCTTTTCTGTCCTTTCCTTTGCTCACACAATGGTCTGTTCTGAAGCCTAAGTATTTGTGTGCCTGTCACAGCAGGTACTGTCCTAGAGCAGGCTTAGTGCTTCTGCCACTGGGTGGGTGTGCCTGTGTTTATCTGCCAGGGCGGTCATCTGAGCGTGCTGCCTTCCAGGGCTTGATTTTGAGATGCCATTAGCACCGTCCTAGTGCCTATCTCTCCAAGATAAGAAATTCTATCCCTAATGTGAATTTTCTTTCCCTGTAAAGTAATATCCTTCCAACAGAAAAGCAACTATCTTCTCAGTTTACTGATGGTTTTGACCAGTCTAAGCTTGGCTTATTGCTGGAGTGGCTTTGGAAAATCGTATTCTTAGCCCTTGACGTATGGGCCTCTTCCTACCAAACTGCACTCAATTCTTTCTTCCAATGAATAGCAAGCAATTTATTTTCTCCTACTACAACAGTTGTAATTACAAAACTGGTAACGACATCAGCCTGGTGTGGAAACTGGAGTGAAATGTACAATGTGTGTACCTGCCCTGGATGTGACATGAATAGGGAGCTGTAGCTTTCCAGGAAGGAAGTGGCACATTCTTCTCTACTATGAATAATCCCAGTCCCATCTAGAAACGTCAGGCTCTAAACTGTCTGTCACCATGCAGGTGGGAGACTTGGGGGCTCAGTGGGACAGTTCCAGGAAGGGGCATCTGCTTGGTGAATAATCAGAAAAGCAGTGGAACGTGAGAAATTGAAAACAGGAGAGAACAAAACACAAAATATTCCTATATTTCTGCGTAAATCCATCAGGGATGACAGGTTGCTGCTGGAAGGAGGGAAGCATAGCACAGTTAACAGAGAGATTTTATTTTCTCTTGAACCAGTCCTGTCTGTGGCATTGCAAAGCATGCACGTAATCTTATTTTGCACAGTGGCTACCAACAGTCACTGCATGTGGTCGTGGAACAGATGGAAAGGATAATTGTTTAGGAGTGCTTTCTGCTCAAAAAAACCCCCAACCAACCAAACAACAACAACAACAAAAAACCTTGGAAAACACTCAGCCGCCGGGAAGTGTGCGTATGCAGCACAGGGGCAGCAGGAGCTGCCGAGACAGCGCGGCTGCGAGTAAAGCAGACCATGTGGTTCCCTCTCGTCCTTGTAAACTTCCCACTTGGCTGCTTGCTGTCAGGAAGCATACACCTCTTCCCGCTCCCTCTCCGGCTGGACGTTGCTCCAGTGCTGCTGGGCGCTGGGGCAGGAGACAGGTAAGAAAGCGTAAAGTTCCCGGGAGAGGAAGAGTGAGGGACACATACTGCGGAACTCCGAGCTGATATGCTAATAAAGAACGTTTTCCCGTCGGTTTCCTGAGCTGTCCCTAGGGATACAGAACTGAGCTGATCTAGCAACTGGGATTCACTGTCTATGCTCCTGGACTGGTGCCCAGAAAAACACCATTGGAATGAAGGACAAAGGAGACTGCTGCAGTTTTATAGTGTAAATACTTCATGCGGGCCATTGTCACATCAAAAACTTTTACAGAGATTAGCTAATTAATCTCATTAGCCCTCTGTGACACAAAGAGAGCACTTTATTCTCAGAGATCAGGTATCTCTACTTGTCCAATATTGAGCTGTTGTTTCTAATCCTAGTCAGATCATAGCTCTGGCTTTACATCCAAGTTACTCCGACTGTTACTGTTCCTCTGCTATTCCAGTTTAATTACTGGAATTTAATTGTGGTTTCGGTGGTTTCTTAGTGCAGGACCCAGTGGCAGGGATGGGGGCCCCAAAGCAGCTGATGTCATGTGAACGGCTCTTGTATTACTTGTGCTGCATGTGGAGTGTGGGTGGCTGTCTCAGGACTCTTACCTGCCTGTCATCTCGCCACTCTTACCTGCTTGTTCTCCAGGCTCTGCTCTGTTTTTAAGTCACTTCCTCTTTTTGGTTTCTTGTTTGTATTCAAAATCTTCCCCTGCCTTTCCAGCACTCCCTTTTCTTGTGTTCTTATGCTGCCATATCTGTGCCTGCTTTAGATGTCTGTTCAGTGTCTCCAGTCTCCCAGTCACAGTCCTAACTGGGTGTCTCTCCCCATCCTCCCTTGGCCATCTTTCCCCTTTCTGCTCTTGCTCACCTAGCTGCTGCTTAGTCTTCAGCTTGCTCTTGAATCTTATAACTCTCTTCCCTGATTCTTTACTTCATCCCTCTTTTCACTGTGCTGCATCAGTTATCCCTGTATTGTTGTATGGAGACTTTGTCCTGAAGGTCAGTTTAAGTGATGAACTTGGTTGCTTAGGTGTTGCCTTCCAGGTAAGGATAGATGAGGGAATATGAATATGATCTGAACTCTCATTATGTTCACAAACTAACCAGATTTTCAGTGTTTACCTTCATTACTTGCACTTTGTTCTTGTTACTTTGTTCTTATTACTTTTTAAACCCTTCTTTTGTATATTTTCATTCCAAATTTCCCCATCTGTGAGGTCAGGGATCTAAAAGTTCATTAATCTGGGAGAGACATATCAATTCTCAGAGATTTGTGCTGTGTTTTGTTCTTGTTTTTGTTTTGATTTTGGTTTCCACTAGAGCATAATCTATATTATGAGGATTAGCAGCACTGAGCAACAAAAAGTATGTATCAAACTAAAGCCTTGCTTTAACTGGGGGTTAAAATTTAGATTAAAAATCATGGAGTTAAAGATCAGTGTCTTTAACTGTCTTGCCAATGTTTCTTGAGGTTATTCGGACTGAAAAGTGTTGAAAGAGATGAGTAGACTTTCTCCATTTCATATGTGGTGTTGACTTTTATTCCTTAGGTTCATATTTCTGCAAAAAAGTAGCTGATTCCCTCTGACTCACTGGACCAAGCACAGGAGCACTGGCCAGGCAGGATTGTTCTTTTAAGATGTTATTTCTGTATTTATTGTGCACATAAGGTAATATTGCCCTCTAAAAAGATCAAATTCTCCTTGAACTAAGCACTAGAGACAAAACATGAAGATGCAGCTACACATAAGAAAACTTTCTTATAGAACTAATGACCAGAGGTGGAAGGAAAAATGAATCAGGAAGGCACAAGGCTGCTGTTCACAGAAGTGACATGGACAGGAGGAACCAAAAACAAGCCTTGTGTGCTCTGTGGAAGTTCCTCTGATGTCTGCCTTGTCCAGGGTCAGCTCTGAGCCCGCTGCAGAGATCATGGCTGCCTTTGCAAATATATCTGAAAATGCCAGTCCCTGTTTCACATAGAGGTGAGACCTTGATGAACCCACTCTATCAGTAATGTATCCCCCAGAGATACACCCAATGCATCTGCTAAACAGACTGATATCTCAGAGTTGTGTGGACAGCCACCACAGGAAGGGGCACACCTGGCTTTCCCAGCTGAGGGAATGTTAGATGCAGCTTTTCTGGGAGTTGCACTGGAACATGCACCAGTTCGGGCTGGAAGGGAGATGGTCACCCAGGTGAAAGGTGAGTAGTAATTGCTCCTACTCAGATCACCTGCTGGACAGGCTGCACTGTGAACGAGCAACTTTTCAGTCCTCTACCAGCTAAATAAGCTCAGTGCAGAAGAGTGATTTTTGCACTGAGTTGTGCTGTCCCGCTTAAAGTAGTTTTACCAGGCTGTGGTCAGGAACAAGAGGTGAGGTTGGGCAGTCAACCATGATGTTCCCAAAGCATCAAACAAGGAGACAGTGTCCTGCTGAGGAAGCAAGCTGGCTGCTTCTCCCCACCTCTGATGCCAACATGAACAGGTATAGATGAGTGAGCAAGGAGAAGAAAAAATCTGGGACGCAGTAACTGCTGCTGGTGTATGTTTGTATGTTCTGAAGATTTCTGGGTGTAAATATGTTCAGTGACTGTCACTTTAAAACATTTTGGAGAACTTACAAAGTAGGTCCAGGGCTTGAGTTTGCTACAGGCATTCAGAAGTTTAGCTTTGTTCTGAGTTTTTTGGTTGCTCTGAGAGCCCCATGCACTCATATTTCCATGGCATTTGGCAATTTCATCTGTGTTGCCAGAGCCACAGCAGAAGAGCAAGAGATAGAAGCTGATGGAAGAGGTAAAGCTTTCGACCAAGTATAACCATGATAATTATTGTTAATAATTATATATATAATATTATTATCATTATCTACCAGCTTTGACTTCTTTAGTTTTAGGAGCTAAACTGCTAAACCATTGCTGTGCTTATCTGTGCTGTAGGCAGTGCTTGGCTTCATCAGACAGCCCATCCACTTCAGGAGAGGACTGGGATGGGATGGGAGTGTGTAGGCATTAGAACTGTCCATGTGCAGTGTAAAAGGGCATTCTTTAATAATTTTCAACTTACTGCCTTTCGCTTTCTTCTCAGTTCCCTCTTTCTCATGTCAGAAAATATGTACAGAACAATGCAACACATTTTCTTTGTCATTTACTCTTTTGAAACCTCCCTACTAAACTTTTCCTCATTTTTTTATTCAGCTGCTCTTTGGAATTTTTGAGTGCTGCAGAGATTTAGACCAAATTGAAACTAAGTCATATATCTCTCACCTGTACCACTGCCTGCAGAGTAAATGCAACCTCAATTTTTGAAGAGAGGAGGGACTCTCCCAGGGGCATTTTGAAAATCCAAAGAAGTTAAAAGTGGCACTCCTTTAATCATAATTTTGAGGGCATGCTCCAGTAAATTAGAGGCTCAGTTTATAGAAGTTATGATATTTTGTGGCTACTACACAGTGATCATCAGAGCATACCTAAGGCTAACTGAGCAGAGCAAGGCATATTGGCTAATCGAGCAGAACAGGGCATATTTTAACATTACACATAGGAGAAAAAAATTCCATTTCCTTTGTAGTCATGAAGGTCAATGACAGAAGACTTTGCCAGGAGCTCTGCTTCAAAATATCTCTAAAATTTATTTCTGGTCCTGAGTGCTCTGGTGGCCATTTTTTTGCCTTAAGAGTCGCTTGTAGATGTTAGCCCGTGACTTTCCCTGCCATATGACTCAGTCTTAGAGTGGAAACACTTCCCTTCTGTCTTATTAGCAGATGGGAGGAAAGAGGGTGGCAGGGAGCAGATTGCAAAAATAACCATTTAGTTGGTCTTAGCCCATGTGTGAGACCCTTAAAAAAAAAAAAAGAGCAGCTCTCTTCCAGTAGGTTGAATCCAACCTACATGGGCTAGATAGAGCGCAAACAGCTAGAGGTGCCAAAGGTCTTTGGTCCTGTCTTGGACAAAGAGTGTTGTGAGTAAATGGTGCTATGATTTGCCTTCAACACTGGTGTGCGTGTGCTGTGGTGGTAAACTGTAAGCACAAAGGACTTAAACTTGACACTTGGTGTTAAGCTTGGTGATGCTTGGTGTTCTTGACTATGAGCACTAGTGAGGCACCTCACCTTAGACTCAGATGGAACTAGTTAACTGTTCTGCTCAGAAAGCAGCTTAATTAGATGGAGATTTTCTCATTCTGTGAACCACAACCTCTGTTCTAGCAAAATTTATTTCCTTTCTCTGTCTTAAAGATTCTTCATAATTAAGGAAAGTTTTCTGCTTTACTATGCTGAGAGTGAGAAGAAGAGTTTTGAAAGCAATAAATACTTCAATATCCACCCCAAGGTGAGCAGTGTTTGCACAGGGAAGGGGTTATTCTGTTTCTGTCTCCCCCCTCTCCTTCCTCCATGGGTCCAGAACGTGAAGAATAGGTAAGTCACAGACTTCTCACAGATCAAGGTAAGCCTCAAAAAAGAAAGAATCATGTCATTGACTTTTCAAGATACTTAATGATTCAGCAGTTACATGACTTTAAGGTATTTTTTACCTAACAGTAGATGTACCCTCTCATTTTCATGATCTCCTAAACAACTAATCTTCTGGCTGTAAAAATACTGCCAAAAGCTGACAGCTTTGTTTGCTGCTTGTTCCTAACCTATACTTGCACTCATTAGCATCTGATCACCCACACGTCTTCAGTTCTTAGGAGTGGCCTCCACAGCTCCACTACCCGGAGATCTCACACAGGGATGCTGTGCTCTGAGTCTGCTTTTGTCCTGTGTAGTCACTGGAGGCTGATGAGGCACACATGCTTCCACAGGTGCTGATTTCACTCATCCTGGTTAGTAGCAGCCAGCTGCCCATCCACCCACACACAGCATGTGTGGGATGTTGACCTACTGGTGGTGGCTGTAATGGATGCACAGCCTCTCTCATGATACCCCACTGTGAACCTGCAACATTCACCTCTACTGGAGATCCCCTCCTCCTTGATAGCAGAGTTCCTGCTTCCATGTTCTTGCTAGCAGCCTTCTCTCTGTGACGAATGCAGGACTGCCATCTTTACCCCCTTTCAGATACCAGCTGGGGGGTTTCCTTGTGGTGGTGGGAGTCCCTCTGCTTTTCAGGAACTGTGTGTGTTGCCCTTCCAGGAGTAGCCAAGGAAGGGCAGGGCCTCCCAAGTGACCAAGGGTGAAAGTTCAGCTCCTGGTTAGTTAGTAGTTATACTTGATTCTACTGACTGATCGGAGTGCTCTGGTTTATCCTAGGGCGTCATACCCCTGGGAGGCTGCATCGTGGAGCCCAAAGAAGAGGCCAACATGCCTTATGCCATAAAAATCTCTCATGAAGACTTCCATGTAAGTAGATTTCTTTTCTTCTAAAAAAACCCCAGACACCACAAAACATGTTAATGCTGATGAGCAGAGCTGGACTGGCAGTCTTTTCCATCCCCACCAAGATATGCCCCCCCCCCCTCTCTGGGCAGACTATCTTGAGAGAGAGGGTGGCTTAGCATCCCAAGTCCCCTCAAGTTTTTATTGCTGCCACTTTCACAACCAACAAGAAAACTTGCACTTTTTGACACCAGGTTTGATGGTACTAGCAGACCAGTAGACAGATACTTGGGAGCCCTAGAGCTCTTGTTCCCCTTTAATTTTCTTCCTATCATGACTGTTTGCCCTATGCACACTTTCCAACGTGTGGCAGACCTGGGTCATATTTGCTACCATGCGATGCTTCCTATGGAGGTGGAAGACTGTGGTGGGCTTTCCTCCCTCCACTGCGGTGCTGGCTGTGTTCAGTTCATGCCCTGAGTGCACAGAGGTGCATAAGGCACCAGCCTCTCTAATCTGGGTTTTTTCTCCCCTCCCCTCCCCTCTTCCAGGGTAACATTGTTCTAGCAGCTGAATCAGAGTTTGAGCAGGCTCAGTGGCTGGAGATGCTACAGGAGTCTGGAAAAGTGTAAGCTTCTTTCAATTCCTTGTTCAGTTTGATCTGCTCTGTAGATGTGTAAAGGAGAAAGAGGAAGAAGCCTGACTAGAAGGGCTATGGGAAGTCAGACAAGCTCCTCAAAACCAGTAAGAGCTTCACTTGTCTCCTGGACCTATTCTTTCCCTAAATGGGAATGCTCTAAAACTGACACAAAGCTTCCCACCTTGGTATGCAGTGTGGTGTACAGTATGGCTCTTTGCTCCCAGCCCCAGGCTGTCATCTGGCAAATGCTGAGGTGCTGAGTGCCCTCTGCTGTCCCTCTCTCTCCCTCACCTCTGAAAGGTGGAACCTGGGCTGAATGGGAGCCCTCCTAGTCCATTCTGTGTGCGTAGCAGGGTCTGAGCGTGTGACAAAGGTGGGGGTCAGAAAACCTCTCTGTAAGAATTTGAGGTAGAGTAAGAGCAGAATAGGAAAGGCATGAAGCTTGTGAGCAGCTGTCCATGTGGCTCTACATCCTGCTAGGGGCAAGGACCTCACCAGCACAGTACTGGTCATGACAAGGTGTCAGTAACAGCCCTGAAGAAATTGTGTGTCCTTAGGGTGTGCATCCGTTCTGCTCAGATCTCAGGGTGCTCAGGCCACACAGCAGCAGCATTTGGCCTCACAAGACAGTTTAATTCTGAAATGCAGAGGCAGGTTAAGTCCCAGGAGAGGAGGTGTTAGCAAAGCATTTCCAACCCGCCTACAGGGGTGAGAGGGTTTGACTGCTATATGCATACAGTACTGAGCTCACAGTCTGCTGAGAATGCTGGAGAGAGATTTGCAGGTTGTGGGCCTCCATTTCTGCAATCCCTCAGCACCCAGGAGCTTGGCAGTGCAAGGAGCAGCTGTCTTGCAAAACCAGAGCAGGCTCCTTCTAAATCTCAGCGGGTGCAGAAGATGTAACACTGAAACAGGGATTTGACTTTCCCAAACCAGGTATGGAAACTTCTCGAGTCTGTAGAGCAGAGCCTACTCCTCACCCATGAGGCTTAAAGCAATGAGCACTTTGCTCTGCCCTTCCTGGCTGCATTACGACGTGTGTATGTGATGTCTTGTCACTATAGGGACAAAAGATGTTCTATTTGTAATGCCAGTGTGTACATGGTAAAGGCAGTGTCTCAGTTAATTTCAATGTTGTGAGGCTCAAAATATTAGTTTGTAATTATTGGGGAACCCAGTGTTATGGTGGATCAGCACAAGCCAAGCTCTGTACTGCTGCAGTGTGCCTGGCTTGGGTGCTGGGGCAAGCTGTTACCTCGATAGTAGTGTATGAACTGCAACACAAAGCTGTCCATTAGTTTCCTGGGAGTAGGAGTCCCATAGGACATAAGACCCAAGGCAGAAGTCTGTCACCCACTCAGCACTAGCAGACTTGGCCACTGCAGGGAAGAAGAGGCACAGATTTAGCCCTTAAGCAATCTGGAGTTTGTTATTCAGTTAGCACAGGCCTGCATTTCCCTTCAATGTTAATTGCCAAGGGCAATTCGTGTTTCAGGTGTGTACGGGAGGGAAGGAGCGTGGCAACAGAGCTCCAGAGGCATGCTTACAAGCAAGCCCTGCACGGCTGCATATGTCGGAGACCCAGCCTTTTCTCTATTCCTTGCTTCGATATTCCAGCAGTAGTGTTTAAAACAGAAGCCAGATAGTGGCTGCTATCATGTAGCAGACTACCCGCACCTAGCTGAAAATCTGCATCAGACACCTTCTTCCCTCCCCTCTCTGCTTCTGTTCTTGTATCAGAGGAGAGCAGTGCAGCTCCAGTGCCAGCTTCACCTGTGCTGAGGATAGCCTGCATGTCACGAAAAGCACAGGTTATGTGGCTTATGCTAGCAGGGTCAAGCGGCAGCCAGAAAGGCCAGCATGGGCCAGTAAATTGATCTGCAATGAACAGGAAAGCCAAAAGGATACAGATCAAATATTCTAGACAACCTGTTATAGTGCCATGTTGTTCCTAGACGGAGATTGCACTGCCGGTGGCACTGCAGCACTTAGTTGTAATCATCCTGTAGTCTCCCTTATTATTTAAAACCAACTAAAGGAACAAAAAAACCTCGCACAAACATCCTCAAAAAAATCCCTAAAACAGATTACGTAGAGTGAGATACAGAAATAGGGAAAATAGGAAGAAAGAAACCCAATCTGGAAATGTTTTCTATCCTCTCTCCTTTGTGTCAGATTTGTCTGCTGTCTCTTTACATCTTGGTTGGGTGGGGGGGTGTGTACCTGCACAACTGCTTATTGCCTCCACTGTCGTAGTCTGCTCAGTGAAATCTTCAGCTCTTCATTCCTTTCCAAGCCTCATAGTTTGATAGGGAAATGGCTTATTCAGTGCAGAGAAGAACTGATGGTCTCTCCACCCTTCTAACGTGTTGTGGCTTGGACTTACCACACTTGCCAGATCTCGAAAGCTTTTTGGAAATGCACAAAGCCCTGACTCCTAGACCACCAGGCTCTCTTCCCACCCAAAGAGGCTTTTTCTTCTGCTAGTTAGGGAGAGAGGTGCACGTAACACTCTCTCTCTCCACAGCTCACTCCACTGAGCATTTCCTGAATTTGTTAAAAGTAAACTTTGTGGGCAATGGAGGCAGCAAAAGTAACATGGAACATATGTCCTGTGGACCATGAAGTGCTAAGTGTCTCCAAAAACTGGTTGTGGCTGCTCCCAAGAAAGGTAAAATGCAGGCAAAACTAGAGAGGTGTTCCCAGTGCTGCAAAAGGACTGGAACAGACAGTGATTGAGGTGTATAATAAATGCAGATAACTATACAGCTTCGGGGTTTTTTTCTCTTAGTAACCTTTGAGTTACAGACAGAGACACATCTTGTTAGGCTGGGGAAGGGAAGGGGCCCTGGAAACATGAATCTAATAAATAGACACCTTAAAGGCTACAGCTGTTTTGAAACCCTCCATGTAATCATATGATAAACTCTGCTGTCCCCCCCACTCCCCTCTTGAGCTGTTTTGCTGTTGGCTTCTCTGGGATGAGATTGATTCTGTGTGAGAGAAGGTTAGTGAAAAAACACATTCACACCCACACGTTCTCACTCAAGGTGAAGATGTCTACCTGTGGGCAAAACAGCACCTTTTTAATTAGTGTTCTAATTTCCTCTGCACTTTAGAATGATCCTCATTAGCTGAAAAGAGGCACAGCTATCTGCAAGGAGCACAAGGCAGTGCGTGGGCTGCTGGAGCCGTGAGCTGCCTGGTCCCTGGGGTGGCGCGTGTTTAATTTATTTGTCTGTTTTTTGTAAGAGACAAAGTACAGGTTGCCTTGAAATTGTTTTATAAAAGATTGCCAACTTAATGGTTTCCAAAAAGCTACAATTCCAAATGGTTCACAAAGAGGCTTGGTACAGGAAGGCTCACAGATATTTAATATTAATAAGCTCCCTCAGGATTTAATAAAGATGGCAGAATTTCTGGGCAGCAATTGCTGTTCCTGTATGTACATCTATATAAATATATTAGAATCAATTTGAAATATGTTTTAATGTTATGCATTTTATGTGTGTTGATTTTTTTTTTCCTAATGAAACACCAATAGAAGTGAGCAGCAAGCTCCATTGCTGGTTCTGTTTTTGATTTGTTTCTCCTTGGTATTTAATATCTGTGTTAAAGCCTATCCAGTCCATCAACTCAGTCAGTAATGGGCATCTGCTCCACAGGCCTTTCTTGTAGCTTAGTTTCATAAAGTCTTTAAGTGACTTGAGATCCTCCGGCCAGTGGTCCTACAGTAACACAAGGTGCTCTTTGAATATGCTTGCTTCCTTTAACGTTCCCTACTTGCCAGCATCTAGTCTGGCTTTTATCTCTGGTTCTTCTTTGTTTTCACGGGAAGAGGCACTTAACTCACAGTGTAGGGCCAGACACCAAGTCCTAGTGGCTTATAAGTAGCAGAGGAGGGATTGGTTGGTTCCAGGGTGGATGGTGGATATTGGAAAGACTGAAGATAGAAGGCTATGGGAAGAATTCAATAAATGGTTAATGTTTGAAGGGGAAGAGTAACTATAACAGCAAAATACTGGAAAGATTGTAGAAGACAATGTTGTTAGCAGGGGGAAGTTATTTGAGTTAAAAGCTAAAATCTGGTCCTAAAGTCTGTCAGGATCATTTTAAAGGGTTCCAGATACATCCTGTTTCAGTTGGAGGCTGTGGATGTGCTGAATTGGTCTGGAGAGTCCTTAAGCTTAAGATCAGTGTAGAAATCTCTAAAAGACTGGAAAATAACATTTGAATAGTTGTGAGGTGTTAACATACAGCTTATGTATTAAAAAAGAAAAAAATATCACTCAGTGTCAGGGAAATTTCTCCATTTCATTTGTGGAGAAAAATTTAAAGAATCACTGTCTCAAATGATGAAAGTCTGCATGTTTAAATTGCTTGGTAGTTAGCTAGGCTGGGACCCCTGTCTCGGTCTGTAGGACCCTTAGCTCCTTTACATTGCCTGTTTTGTGTCTGCTTTCCCTAGGACTTGGAAGAATGCCCAGCTGGGAGAGGCTATGATTGAGAGCCTGGAAGCCCAAGGACTGCAGCTGGCCAAGGAGAAACAGGAGTATTTAGGTAAGAAACTCTTACTTCCAAAAGCCATAAACCCCAAAATAGCTACTTTGCTTTTTCTAGAGTTGACAGCGTGGTCAAGCCAAGCAGCTACAGATTTTTACTGTTGACTGTTACTGGGTGAAACTTTTGAGTAGTCAGCAGCTGAAACTCAGGTTTGAAGGGAGTCAAAACATGCAAAGGTTAAGGTAGGATTTGGACATCTGTTTGGAGTGTGAAAACAAGAATGTGCTTTGGCCAACATGCTGCAGTCCTGGCTGGTCTCATGGCTGGTCTATACAAGTGTTTACTGAGATATTTGGATGTGTTGGTTTCAGCTGCTTACCAGGCAAACAGCCTGTCTCCCTAAATCACACAGGACTGATACTTCTGAGGTTGATCACAGCTTTTCATGCATGAGTTTTCTTCAACTAGCTGGAGGATTTTTGGTCTTACTCTATTTGAACTTTGTGTTTGCTCACACTGTTCGTGTTGGAAGTGGGAGCATTTACATGGGCTTGTTTGAGGTGTCTGATGGCAGTGGATAATTTGTCAGTGCTCTCTCCATGGACAGTGGAGAGAGAACAGTTTGTCCAGATGAACACAGAACAGTTTAGGTGGAAAGGCACTTCTGTAGGTTGTCTAGTCCAATCCCCTTCCAGACTCTGGATGGCAATACCTTGGATGCTCTGACTGCCTTGGGAGGTCCAACTGTCTCTTTGCTGCATCACCTATAGCAAGAGTCAAGGGAGTCGCCGTTTTAACCCAGATGCCCTCCATGTCAGAGCATTCTAAGAGCCCTTCTGATCTGAGGGCTGCTGGTCACATGTGTGGGCCCAGTGAGTTGTCTGGACAGTCATCTGCTTTAAACAAGCTGGCAGCAATTTGAGTGCTTCAGGTAAGTGATGCCTTGAGCAGGGGCTCATAGTGTCTACTCCTAATCACCAAGCTACCAAAGGAATCTTGAAGAGCTTTTTGTACTTTTGCATCCATGATGATCAGGGGTGATCTCAGTAGATGGTCTCACATGCAACAGTGATCATAATTCAAGTGTCAAGGGATATTCATTCTGGCCATCTAAGCTCCATTCACACATGTTAGGTGATGGATGGGCTCATATGTGAGGCAGGGAGGGAGAAGGGGCTCCACATCTGACAAAGGGATAATGGGGAGTGCTGAAAGGAGGACCTGGAGGGACAGGAACAGGAGGAAGATTAGAAACAGGAAAACTTTGTCAAAACGTTATTTTACAATCACCAGAGCAGACTAAAGAGCCTAAAAGACTGAAGAGATCCTTAGTACGATAAAAGGTGATGGAGGAATAGAAGAATACACATTCTGTGGCAAACAGGAGATATTTGGAATATAAAATATATATTTCACTGGGTTCTTTGGTCCGTGACAGGAACATTCAGAGCTGGTCAATTGTCACAACTGGTTACTTTCTTTTGACAGCAACTGTCTATTTCTATATAACTGCTGAGGCTTCTGCCTCATTAGCCTTACCTTCAGTGATCTGTGTCCATCCTGTAGTTAAACTTTGAGGTCAGACACTGTTCCTGGCAGCAGATCAAGGTTCTTTGGAGGAAGTAAACACTGCTTGAGGGAATTCCCTGAATCCACACTGAGTGGATCCCACCTTCTTCCCACCTAGTTAGGATCCAGGTTTCACTCTCAGACATGGACTTTATAGAGGGCCATCAAGTCCAGGGGTTGGGTCCCCCAGGAGGGGCAGAAGGGGGGTTGTGGAAGAGCCTCTGTGTAATTACAGTGAATCTGTGCTGGGTCCTGGCCAGGAGAAAGAGGTCAAGAGGGGAAAGAAAAGGCGGCAGTGGTGCTCAGCAGAGCTCTAGTAATGTAACACTATTTCTCTGGCAGCAAGAGTCCTGCTGTGGGCAGGAGGTGAAGTCTGCGTTCCTCCTAGCAGTAGTAATCCTGCCAGCAGTAGCAGTCATCAGGTATCTAGTACCAGGGAAACCAGTAGCGTCCCACTCACCTGATATGCGGAAAACTTAATGTAAAAGTGCTACAGTGAATGTGCCCTGCTCACAGGGCAGCTTGGTGGCAGAGCTGAGAGCTAAACCTTAGGCTTAACTGTGAGGAGTGTGTTTCTGTCTATCTTCCTGGAAGTGTGGCCGAGAGCTGCCTGAGGGAGAGCCTCTGAGGTCAGGGCATTGCACAGCGTCAGGCTGCAGGGTAAGGAGCAGAGCAGGGCCTCTGGTGGGTGTGTGTCTTCGGTAGACAAGCGCAACTGATGTTGAGGGGAACTGCTCGGTACAGCAAAGATTTTGTGGCTAGGTTTAGGAGACTGATTTCTGGGCTTGGCTGGGACACCCCAAAGTGACAATAGGGAGCTGGCAGTGATGCCCAGAGGGCTAAGGAGTAAGGAGAGGATGATGTGCTAGGCAGGCAGGTGGGGATGAGGCACTGAGCTGCAGGAGAACTGACTGCTGGTACATGGTGTGTGACCCTGTGCACTCACTTAACCCTTCTCTGCCTTTGTTTCCTCATCTGTGAAACAGAGATAAGAATATTTTCCTGACTCAGCTAGAGGACAGTGGAGGTTAGTGAATTAATGTTCTTCAAGAACATTGCTGTGTGCTCCTTCTAAGGTTTCTTCTCAATGTGGTTGTTTAGTTTATTCAGTTGTTTGGCAGGAGGGAAGTTACAGAACATCCCATTAAGTGCCGTCTTAGACTTGGGAGCCTCCCAGACAGATGCACACAAAGGAATAGGGAATGCTTCAGAAAGTCAGTATTTCGTGTTTGTAAATATCCCCAGGATATAAAATGCTTTTCTCTATGCTTGGCCTTTGTTTGTGTGCTTGCAGATAAGCTAATGGAGGAAACAGAAGAGCTATGTCTGCAAAGGGAGCAAAAAGAGGTGAGTGTTCATGCCAAGCCTATTTCCTTTAACTTCCATATGGCAGGCCTGGGATTCTGAGAGTCGTTGGTTGGAAGGCATGACAGGGTTAAGGGACAGAGGCTTGTGGAGCCACAAGGGTCTCCAGCCAAGCTCTAGATCCTGTGGATGAAGAGAGAAATAAGACCTGTCATGAGATGGGTCTTGGAGGTGTATCCCTGCTCCCTTTCTGTGTTACTTTCCACGCAGTGTGCTTGTGATTACATCTCCAAGAGGATCAGGGAGGAAAATGGAATGAAATTCATATTCACTGGTTTGAATTACACAATTGTTATTTGGCAGTGAAGACTGTGGCAATCAAGACCTGTCTCCACAGTTAGAAAGCAAGTAAACAGACATGGTTCTAGCGTAGTTTCTCTAGTGTAGAAAAACAAGGAGCAGGAAAAGCAATGTGGTTTGTTTTTTTGACACACCAGAGATGGGGAAAATAATAAATATTGCACTAGAGAAAAATCATGAGAGCACTCCCTTAGAGGCGACAATTATACCTTAATTTATCTGAGAATCATAGAATGGTCTGGGTTGGAAGGGGCCTTAAAGATCACCTAGTTCCAGCCTCTCTGCCATGACCAGGGACATCTTTCACTAAACCAGGTTGCTTTGCCAAGTTTTTAATTGTTTTCCAAACTATTCCTAACTTATATTTGCTTAATATAGTAAGAGTAGCTCATTCTCACATTTACAGCAAAACCATACTGATTTTTATAGCACCATCATAAAGTCATGGCAAGTGCAAAAGGATTGTCCTACTACACAGTAGAGAAGTCTGCTTGGATGTAGAATACCATGTTACAACCTTGCAAAGTGCCTCATGTTCTATTCCAGTTCATCCAAAACGACCATTGCCCCTCTTTAGGAGAAGATGGCAATGCTGACCTTGGCTTCTCAGGCCTATATTTTTCTTGCATACATTTCCGGAGAGATAAAATCCAAAGGTGGCTTGGACTCTCCTTTAGGGCTAAGCTGCTTCTGCCTTTGCAGAGAGACATCCCCTTCTGGTGAAGTAGCCTGCTGCACAGCCCACAGCCATGGGGAGGGAAATGCCCTTGTCTGAAGATCCTGGAACAAATCTCTGCTCTTAAAAAGCCATGCACAGTAACCCCATTGCCCACAAAGAGCAGATGGGGCCAGGTTAGTTTGAAGGAGTTTGGTACTGTGAAGAACTGAATGTAGATCTCACTGATCTGTGGCAGTCTGACCTGCTGAGAGCCTGAAGGCTTCAGAGAAGTATGTTGGGAAAGAAGCTCAAACCACGTATCTGCACCATGGAGCAAGACTCTTAATATTAATTTATCCAGTGTCAGTGCTGTTTTGTGAGTAGCCTGGGCCCGCAGCAGTTCTGCTGAGCAGCTGTAGCTGCAAAGGGACCTGTCCAGGAGAGGGACCCTTGCTGTATTTTGTCCCTGTCTTCCTCCATCTGCAGTAGGTCTCAGTACAACTGCTTCCTGTAGATTAGGGGAAGAGGCTGTTTCGCTGCTTGAGGACAGCTTGTAATATTTGGTGCTCTTTAAGCGTGGTTTTATCAGCACGAAGATAGTGACAGGCTGATTAAACTGTGTAAAGGTGTAACCGAACGGTTTGTGTTTTCCTGCCCCAGTGGGGGTGGAGAGCAAGGCAGAGCGAGTAGAAAAATTACACGTCAGGCACAGCAATTCTGGGGCTGTCACACTCCTGTCAGGACTATCTGTACTTGCACATGTGGGTGCCTGGAAATGGTACATACATGTGGAGTCCAGCATTCCCAGGGAGTTTTGGACCTTCTGTATATATGCATCAGAGCTGACCTCTGCGGAGAGCATGTCTGGGATCTCTGTGTGCTTAGTAACCTGACTGGGGCATCTGGATGTCTGAAAATCCTCAGCTAACTTCAAATCCCTTCTAATTGCCCCTGGACAAAAGTGTGTTGTGATCAGAAACTTCATGGCTCTGCACAGTTTGGGTTAAATGACGGGTTTAAAGTCCCAGGCATTGTTAACAGGGATACCTTTCCTAACCGTGTAGGCAGAGTACATTCCTGTCTTCTTTTCTGTTCCAGGAACTCGAGCGTCTGAACCAGATCCTGGAAGCAGAGAAGCAGCAGTTTGAAGAGGTGGTGCGGGAGCTGCGGCTGGAGCAGGAAGAGATCAGACGGTAAGGCAGCAGACTGAGCAGGGCAGGAAAAGGTCACCAGCTCCCACACTGGGCAAAAGCACCACTGTGGCAGTGAATCAAAACAGTTTGTAAAATCCAACTATTTTTGTGCATGTAGGAAGGAGAATAGATGCTATATTGACCAAAACAGGAATGGTTGTGGACTGTTTGGCTGCGTTTGCTGTTGCTTGTGTGACCAGTAGAATACAGCTTAGTTTAATTTTGCATTCAGGGCTCCAGCAATTTATTTTCAAAGGTCTGGGACATGAGCAAACCCCAGATTGGTTGGGGTAGAGTGACAACGGAGGTGCTAGAGAGGATTTCAAAGAGAGGCAACTACTTTGGTTGGCTAACCAGCCCTGTGGGGTCCAAACATATGGATCTGGTTTTCCACCATCAGCTCAATGACAATGGGTGGATGATAATGTTGCCTCACCAAGATGAGTTTTGTCATTTTAAGAATTACACTATGCAAAATGTAAGTGGAAAATGTATTTAGAAAGGGAAGGATAAAAATGCTTTGCCCTGAGTGTTGAAAGGGCTGTTTAGCCATTGCCCTCTTTTTTTTTTTTTCTTTTTCTCTCCCTAAATAACACCTCAGTATGATTTTGCAAACCATTTTTGTTTTCATAGTCCTACTTCTGCTTAAATATGACTGTGCTGTCTGAACTCTTCCAGTTGCAACCATGGCCCTGCCCTTGCTAGAGAAGCACACTGACAGTTGGGTTTGGTTTGATGATCAAGAGGCACAGTAAAGTTCCTGAATGCCCATAGTGTGTTCAAGGCAGGATGTGATGCTTCCTGGCAAGCTCCTGACTCTCTGGGACTGCCTTCACCAAGAGATCCACAGCCTGTGAAGTCTGAGTGTGGTCTGGGGGGCTAGTGTTCCGCTACAATAGCTGTTCCCCCTTTTTGCTTCTTTAGGGAGCTGGAGCTCACAGCCCGATCCCTTAAAGGAGTGGAGGAAGAAAAGAAAGAGTTGCGAAGCCTGACACAGTCCTTACAGAACACCCTAGAGGTGAGTGACCACTTCTCACCTCTAGGCATTTTGGTGTGCCTTGGAATGAATCTAATACTGCTAGCTCCAGGGTTAAGTCCTGTACAGATGAACAGGTTCATTTGGTGGCTGGGATGAATGACAAAATCCCCCACAGAAATGGATGAGCAGTGATACAGAGCCCAGCTGAAGCAAAGTTTTCTCGGTCATACCAGGTGATCTGATGGTAGTATAGCCTGCAGGTTCTCTCTGCCTTCATAGCAAAGGCTGTGGTGGAGGCTTGCTCCTCATGAGGCAGGTACGAAATGAAAACCTAATTTTGTTATTCATGTTTTTAACCAGAATGAGGCATGTAAGGGTGGGGGGACTCAATAGGGAAGAGCCAGTCAGGAACAGGAGCAGCAACATTAGACTTGGCTGATACTCACAATCTCTGTCCTTCTTCAAGGAGCTCTCCCTGGAAAAGCAGCAAATGCTGGAGATGCTGGAAGAAAATGAGAGCCAGGTCCCACCTCCAACGAGCCCCAACAAAGAGCAAAGCCCCATCTGGGGACTGCACTGCAGCCTGCGACAGATTGAAGAGAAGATGCAGCAACTTCTGCAGGAGAAACTCCTGGCAGAGAAGAGGTGAAGTGGGGACAGGGGTTCTTGAGGTGGTATCAGAGATGAGACGTGATCCAGTGTGAGGAGGGGGGTGTGAAAAGAGGTAGTTTTGTCCCTTGAAGGTGGGAGGCACAGGGATGTGGCAAAAGATTTGCAAGCTTCAAGTGATATCACTTCAAAACAGTTTCCCTGTTTATCCTGAGACCTGCAGAGAGCCAAGATCCTTTATAATTTCCTTTCTTGGGTGTGATAAAGGGAAGACGACTTTTCTGCCCTGCTCAGGCTTACAGATGCCAAATGACATGACTGTCTGCTGACTTGCTTTTTGATTGCCAGCACAAGACAAGTCTGGAAGCTTGTCTGGTTCCCATGGGAGGAGTTTAGGGTACAAACACTTCAAAGGAGACAGAGTGAGGCAGGGCTGCTGAACTTCTTTCTGCTGTTTGGGCCTTGTCCTTTCAAACTAGGATTTGGGCATGTGACGGTGTTCATGGCCTGTCCCTAAGGAGTGTTTGATGCTTCTGGGCCTCATCTGGGGGTTGAGACTGTTCTGTTTCAAGGACTGTCCACCTGGCTTTCTCCAGCAATCCTGTATTATTGGAGTGAAACACAGACAGTGCTCTTGTTAGTGCCTCTTTGCTCAGGACAGCCAGATAGTTAAGCCTTCCCAATCGTGATACTGAGCCTCTTTCCTTCCTGTCAGTTGTGCTGGGGTGGGAATGGTCATCTTTCTTTGCTGTGCCATGCACCAGGATGAAGGAGAATGAGGAGCGGTCCCGAGCACTGGAGGAGGAGCGGGAATTTTACTCTTCCCAGTCGCAAGCACTGCAGAACTCACTCTCGGAACTGACTGCAGAGAAACAGCAGGCAGAGAGGGACCTCAAGGTATTCCCTGCAAATGTTGTATATTGCTGTTCCTGGGCCCAAAGTGCTCTCATTTTCCCTCTCAGTTCATCCCCCATCAAGTCAAACTCTTTGTTTTATTTTGTTTTCATGTTGTGGTCACAAATCTTCATTTGCTGTGCTTCATGTTGCCAACCATATCCTGGGCTGCATCAAAAGCATTGAGACCAGCAGGTTGAGGGAGGTGATTCTGCCCCTCTACTCTGCCCTTGTGAGACCCCACCTGGAATACTGCATCCAGTTCTGGGGTCCTCAGCCCAGGAAGGACATAGACGTGTTGCAGTGAGTCCAGAGGAGGACCACAAAGATCATCAAAGGACTGGAGCGCCTCTCCTACGAAGACAAGCTGAGAGAGCTTGGGTTGTTCAGCCTGGATAAGAGAAGGCTCTGAGAAGGAGATCTTACAGCGCCTTCCAGTACCTCAAGGGGGCTACAAGAGAGCTGGAGGGGGAATTTTTACAAGGATATGTAGTGGTAGGACAAGGGGAATTGGCTTAAAACTGAAAGAGGAGAGGTTTTGATTAGATATTAGGAAGAAATTCTTTGCTGTGAGGGTGGTGAGGCACTGGAACAGGTTGCCGAGGGAAGCTGTGGATGCCCCATCCCTGGAAATGTTCAGGACCAGGTTGTATGGTCCTGAACAGTGTGGTCTAATGAAAGCTGTCACTGTCCACAGCAGAGGGGTTGAAACTAGATGACCTTTAAGGTCCCTTCCAATCCAAAACACTCTATGACACTCATGTAACATATGAAGTTGCCACATTGTATCTATGCAGCACTACTATTTATTTTCTCATTCTGAAGCCTGATTAACCTGTTTAGTGCAAGTCTTTTAGTTTGCTACTGTGAAATCATCATCTAAAGATGAAGGGAAGAAAAAAAGTAAAAGAGTAAACCACGCAAGAAAAAGAATAAAGATTATTTCAAAGAAATGTTAACATGGACATTGCAGAACTGAGCAGATATCTTCCCTCCTCACTTGTGCTCAGAAAATCAGTCTTAAGATCTTCAGTAACCTGCAAGAGCTTGAGTTGAAAAGCAGAGGAATGCAGCTGAGGTATCAGCCCTCCTTTGTAACAGAAGATACTTTGCCCAATTACCTTTGCATAGCTTAATGATATGTTTTTGAGCTATCTAGACGTAGTTTGACATACTTTATATTTTAGATATTGGAGAAAGTGGTTCTTGTAACTGTTGTGTTTACTTTTCTTTCTTTTAAATGTAGTGAAGTTTCATCTACATTCATTGTCATTTCATATGTTTATATGTTTAATACTACACACTTGCAACTGTTATTTAAATCTAAATAACATAAAGGTTATGTTTATTATTAACTGTTTGACACTTAATCTCCTTATACAAATATTTTGTCCAAATAAACCCCAGTTCTTCTTTTTCCTGCACTTCCAATATTTTTTTTTATCCTGTAACCTTCCACATGGCCAAACAGAAGCTAAGTTGAACAAAGCTGTATTAGTCATTCTGATTTGCTAAGCTATTACTTTAGTTCTAAATTTTCTTATGTTTTGTTTCTGAAACTCAGTACTGTACACCCCTTTGTGGTAACTGACTGCCTTTATCTCAAGTCCATCTGAGCTGGAATTATGCCTTCCCGTTCCTGCGCATCTGCAAATACTTGCATTAGCACAAATTCATGTGTTGAAGTACCATCTCTGATTCTATATGGTTTATGCAATGGGAGAAAAACTCTGAAAAATGCAAGTCAGAGTAAAGGAGAATTACTAAAATAGTCTGGACTTCAGATTCTGTCTAAAGACATGAGGAACAACTTTTATATTGTCTTACAGTATTTCTAAGGATTTTTGTCACTATTGTCTTTTTGTTCTCATCCATGGTGAGTCCCTCACAGACCCTTATGAGTTACCAGGATGATTACTGAGACACAAGCCAGTTTTCAGCAACTCTTGTTCTTTTCCTCAGGCTGAGGTGAAGGTACGCATGGATCTGGAGAAGAGACTCAGAGAAGCTGAGGAAGCATTGCAGAGCTTGGAGCAAGGCTTAAATTCTCTGCATTGCAACAAGGAGAAAGAGGAAAAGATGAAAGCAGATGTCAGTAACTTGAGAAGTAAGTCCATCATCCATCCTCTCTGCTGATGAGCAAAGTCTGAGAGAGGAAATATTTTTTCCATCTTTCCAGATGCACAGAGAAGATCCTCAGTGCACATAATGTGCTCCCCAAATTCTTGTACCTCCACCACACTGCCCGTTTGAGGAGCCATAATGTGCTATGGTATTTCACCCTCAAAGGAGGGTTAAAATTATCCCAGCTTTCTTTGTTGGGTGCAAGACAAACCTAAAGGTGGAAATGATCAAATGCTTTCCAAAATGTCAAAGGGAAGCTGTGGCAGAGCTATAAGGACTGACTAGGTCTGAGTTATAGAGTCTTCTGATTCCCCTCAAGACATTATTTTCTCAGCCTTGGTTGCAGCAACATCAGTTTAAGGAGGACTGTGGTTGCTGTAGCAACATGCTGGTAGGTGACCCAGCAGGTGAAGTTTGGACCCTTACTTGGACCTGAATCACAGCATCAGCACTGCTGTGCCGAGACAGCTACAGTCCACCGGTCAGGTGTAAAACTCATGTCCCTCACAGGTTAACCTTGTTTCCTTGTCCTTTTTGTGTTTATTTGGGTTGGAAATTTTGGGGTATTTTGAAGGGACATTACCCTAGCATTTGGCTTGAGTCAGGTTTGGGAACTGACATTAGCAGCTTCAGTTGTGTGAAGTCTTGCTTGTTTTCCATCCTCAAGTATAGTTCAGGGGGAAAAGGTTATGAAGATGCTGTATTTGTACAGTTAATGCTTCATTTCAGTGAAGGATGGATGTACTGGACCAATACAGAAAAGTCAAAAAGTCCTTTGGCCTTCTGAGCACTGTTTACATAAAAAGAATAATAAGAAGAAAAGAATAAATACATGTATTAATAGTTTTATATCTATTTACATATTTATACTTTTTATATATTTAAATAAAATAAATATTATTCAGTAGTTTCTTCATAAGATTTCTAAACTGAGGAAAACTAACATGATTTGGAACTTCATCCCACTGTCCAAGAGCTATATTAAGAAAACAGAGCTAAGGTGGATGTGTTGAGTTCAGCATTCTATAGAGCTGAGCTACCTAACCAGGGTATAAGCGAGTAACCTCTGGTATTGAATGTTTCACGGCATTTCCAACCTTAGATTGTGGGGGATGTTTTCTTTAAAAAAGTAAAAATGTATTGATGAGCAGAGCACTAGAGAAAATGAGGGACCACCAATGTTTTCCTTAACTTTGGTCTCAGCACAGATTGCTTTAGTCCTTCCAAGTGGTTCCTGCTGCTCTGTCCTGCCCTGCCCTGCCCTGCCCTTCCCTTTCATATAAAAGTTTGGGCACATTAGCACATGATGCCTTTGCACAGCAAGGGGCCAGCGACAGGCAGGAGGACAGCAAGACTAGAATGGCAGAAGAGATGCTGGTTAGACCATAGGAGAGGATATAGGCCAGGAAAAGCAGCTTGTGTGGCAGATCAGGACAGAATAACATTGTCAGAGTTTGGACGTGGGGCTTTGTTTGAAGCCTATAATGTATCTCTGTACTATGCTTTTAGGAAATTCCTGGCCATGTATGGCCTGGAGGTATGTGCCCATGCCAGTGTTGCCAAAACCTCCCTTTCCCAGTTAGACTTGACTGGTTTTAGAAGTCTGCCAAAGAAAGTATGATGAGTGAAGCTTCATACCCTCTGTTGCAAGAGCTGAGAAGTTTTATTACAGTATCAGAGGCTTTCGTCAGTTGAATCAGGAGCAGCTGTGTGAATGATGTGGAGTGTTCTGCAGTTCTTTCTAAAATTTGAGTACACGTTTTTTGGGAACCATAGGTTTTTGTCACTGAAAATGCTCATTTTGATGTTGTTCGAGAGCTTCATAGATTGTTGTTTGTGAAGATAATCATTATCTGGCTTAGCCCATCAATGAGTGCAGTCCCTTGTGACTGGTTCATTGCTTGGAGTGTCTGTCCCATCACTCTTACAGTGGTGTCTTTTTCTCAGAGTTCTTTGAAGAGTGCATCCGCAATGCCGAGCTGGAGGCCAAGATGCCTGTGATCATGAAGAACTCCGTGTACATCCACAAGGCTGCCACTCGCCGCATAAAGAGCTGCCGCTTCCGCTGCCGGAGAACCAGTACTTCATGGAATGACAGTAGGTATCAAGCAGCTTTTTAATCTGTATTCTGCAAGAGCAGATTCATGCAGATGGGCCTGACAGAGCAGTAAAGTCTTCAAAGGTTGTCCATATTTCATATTCCTTAGTGATAGAATGGAGCTACAGTGCTACCTGGAGCTTCCTTTCCTAGAGAGCAGGCACTGACCCTGCATGCTTGTTGCCTGTTTCTTTATTTATGTTTAAAGCTAGCTGCTGTGATGGTTCTGGGCCCCCTCCCCAAAAACATGCTTAAATATGACTTCATTGGAATGCTTAATCACAGACTAAGTTAAGTTGGAAGGAACACCTGGACATTGTCCAATCCAATCTGGTGCTCAGAGTGGCTACTTGCAAGGTTAGATCAGGTTCTGTGTAGCATCTTAAATCAGAGGTAGCTGTAAAGAAAAGTGTGTTTCCATGCCATCACCATTTTCCTCCTCTGAACACAGTGAGGTAAAGCTGTTAGAGCAAAATAGTTAGCTCATCCCCTGCCAGGTGATCACATGGCTTGTGTGCTCTAGTGAAGCTTTATCTTCATTTTGTGTCCCTGATGGAGAGCGCTGACCTTTCTGTGCTGCTCTTGTTTCAGTGAAGCAGTCCCAGTCCTTTGTCTTCTCCCATGCAGAAGCTGAAAACATTGAGGAGCTGAAAGAAGCAGCCAAAAGACTGAGCCGGGACCAGCGCTTCAGGAAAACTATCTATCAAATCATGAGGTCACAAAAGGATTCTGCTTCAGGGGACAAAAAGTGACTCTTCTTGGAAGGGGGCTTCTGAGCTCAACTTGCCATTCAGCTCCGCAAACGTTATGCCCTTGGGCACTAGGGTCAGAAGGGAGATTTGCCCTTTGGTGGGGAAAGTGGGGTAAGGTTGTGTGTAGGCAATCCCCTCAGTTAGTGGCTTTGCTTTAGTTTGAATGCTCCTTGTAGCCTGGCAGACCTTCTCTGCTGATCGCTCCAGACCTGTTTGCTTCAGCTGCTTACATTAAGGCATGTTTTGCCAAGATGCCACAGTCAGTGTTAAAGTGAACCACAGACCATAGGTTAAGAAGGGCCTCTCCTTTCCTTTCCTGTCTAGTCTATCTGCCAAACACATGTGCTTCTGAGAAAATCCTTTATCAGCCTGTGTTCCAGCTAGTGTAACCTCCCCAGCTGGACACAGCTTACCCCTTTCTCCCTGATCCTGTGTAGCAAATGGCTCACTCCACACCCCCAGTCAGTCAGCACTTCCATGGGGCACAGGCTAAAAACTGCAGCAGTCCCAGTGTCCCAAGCACAGGCAAAAATGTCAAACCCAGGGCAACTTTTTGTCTTGATGCTACATCATTTCATGCAAAGAGCAGCACCACAAGGTGAAGACAACCGAGGATGCTGTGGATTTGGCTTCAAGGAGGATCGTGTACAGAGAAGAGCTCATAGGTAACTCAGTGGCATGGATGCAAGCTGGAGGGAGGGTTGTGTTATGTTGACTGTGGGCAAAACATTCTGGGGCCACCCTTGCATATTTTTTGCACTGGGACATCTATGTCAGAACAGGAACATGTGCTGCAGAAGGTGTTATCTATAGGCAGCATCAGTGTAGAGAAGCCCTTGACTCAGTCCTGATGGCTTCATCAACACCTCTGTAAAACAAGTTGGAGGGCAAAAGAACGAGGACTGTCCAGCAACAAACCCCACTATCACTTCAAGAATTAAACATTGTCAGCAGCAAGCTCTCAGGGCTGTGGAGGTGGGGAAAGTCACCTCGGTATATGCTGCAGTGAATAGCCTGTGGTCAAGGCTTTGTACTGCTCTCTGCCAGTCCTCTTAATTGCTATCCAGGCTGTCTCAATCAAACTGGGACCTCTGGCAAGTCAAAGCTGGATTGGGAGCAGTGCTGTGAACAGCCTGTTCAGAGGTGGGCTTCTTGCTTGTCTCTGCTCTCACAAGTGCTCGCCGTGTGGTTATCGAAGGGGACAATTTGCCCTGCAGGTGGTCATCTTCTGTGTTACAGGACTAGAATCACTTTGTTGTGGAACCCTTGCAGCCTCTCCCACCTATTTTAAACAAGCCACTGGCAAGTAATTAACTTTGCTGCAGCAGCAGCACTGCCTGGTGCTTACAGAGCACAGGGCAAGCACACTCAGAGTGGTGCTCTGTTTTCTTCAGGATATTAACTGGGAAACACAGAAATAAACAACACAAAGGTGAATAAAGTTAGCAGCAGAAGTACAGTAAGGGCTCAGGGGGTCTTAAGTGCAGATTTACAGGGGCTTGCAGGGCATCAGTACCCCTGGGAACTACATATGTCTGGTGAAACACAGGTAGTTACTTGCCTGTCCCAATCAGACCGTGACAGTGTCCACTCACAGCCTTTGTCTTATGGCCAGCTAAGTCATTCCCTACCAATTTAGAGCTGTTTCTAGGGAGAAGCTGAGGATGAGATTGGGAAGGGGGCTCTGGCTTCCCAGCCAGAGGAGAAGGGTTGATGCTAGGTGGAGGAGCATGCTGTCAGGGTGTGAATGGAGACACTCTGGTGTGCCCAGAGGAAAAGCACTGAAAGCACAGCCTGTGCTTTCCATTTCAGTCAGTCACTGACCAGTATCCTTCTGCCAGGCAATGGGAGGTTTTATATAATCAGAGGATCCAGCACTGAAGGCTGGCATTTTTGTGATGATTAATAGGTGATGTGATAGGGGAAGAGAATTTCTGTCCTTCCTTGGCATACCTGATCCTTCTGTGTTTTTTCCACTTGCACGCTAGAAAGCCACAAATGAATTCTGGCTCCTACAAGGCTGAAGGGCTGTGAGAAAACAGTACAGAGCTGGTTTCCCCATTTATGCTGTTCTCACATCATCTCTAGCTATTTCCCAATTGCAAGATCTATATTACATGATGCTGGAAGGGATGGAATAAAGGATAGCCAGGGAATGTATCTGTAATTTAGGCAGCTAGGAAAATCGTCTTGTGGGTTGGAATGCAGCACCTTTGTTCTATTGCCATCAAAGCCACAATACCAGACTTTGCAGAAGTATTGTATGCAGGAGGTAGCCACATCAGGTCTTCCTTTACTGTGCATATTGACAGCAATAAATAAATAAAAGTTATGCTGACACTAGAATGAATTCCTGTGTGTTTTTGATACACTGTCACTGAAATGATGTTAAATTGTCTCTGCAAGAGTCCAAACAAATTGTGACACATTTATTTATTGCCAGTGCAATTCCTCTGCTTCACTGAGTTGTTGTGTTCCGTGGTGTATGTAAAAAGCTTTCACCCTTGCTACCCACTTCCACTTTTAAATGTGCAAAAAGTTAAAGCAACAGCCATCTCTCTGTGTAACCAGCAAGGCATGCCCTAAGCCACCTGTGACGAGGTGCTTGCCATCAGTCATTCTTTGCTGCAGAGGAATCTACTACCCTGTAAGCTCTAAGCTCCCTGGCAGAGTCAGCATGGAGGTGGGTCTGTGCACCATAGCATCTTAATTAAGTGACTCTCTCCTTATTCTGTTTGAAAGGACACAGAAATTATTAATTTCAGTGCTATCCATGTATTTTTAATGCAATGCAGTAACAGGAAGATGGCTTAGGAAGCACCCCACCTCTGTTCAAACAACTTCCACTACTAATCCTGGGTTACATTGCTTCCTCCTCCTGGGAAACCTGGGAATGAGATGAGAACTTCCTCCACTGGGAGAGTTGTCTAAATTGTTTTCTTGTCTGAGGATAAGAGAAAATGTAGGACGGTTTGCTCCTCTAAGGTTTCACTTCTGAAGTTGCAGAACTGCTAGATTGTGGCCATTCTTCCACCATCTCCACTTTCTGGCTAACATCTGGGAACTTCTATCTCCCCTGTTGTCCTTTTCAGAGACACTTTAAAATTTGTGGCCTCTGCCAAATGTGAAGCCTGCTAATTCTTCTCTGCATTGTCTTGCCTGCTTTTCACAGTGTGAAGAGTGGTTCCCATTAAGGTTTAATTAACCAATTTAAGGGTTAATTTCATACTTCCTGTAAGACACACAGGCTCTTTCAGTCCCTAAGGAGGAAGAGTGGTTCCTGCTGAAGGCCAGGGCTTTGGCAGCTCACCTGGTGCCCACTGCCCCAAGGTTTTACTCTTGCACAGAAGCAAATGGTAGAGAAAGGAAGGCAACCACAGCCCTGTTGCCCACCATCTGTGCTGCTTCTAAAGCAGAGAAAGTGGATAAGAAATGGAAATTGCCCTCGGGGTCAGAAGTCAATAACAAAGGATAAATGGTTGCTGGTGCGTGTTATGCGTTGCTGTGCATGGCACAGAAGTGACACAGGCTGGTAGCAGTTTTCAGCTGCAGAGTATGGCTTTTGTTTTTTGGTTTTGTTTTTTTTTTTTTTTAGCTCCAGATAGTAGGCAGGCTTTCTGCTTAGGACTTAGTGTAATATTGGCAATATGGAAATAAGATGATAGTTTTCCATGGAAAGAGTCTGTTTTGAATGGTCTTCAGCACAGTCACCTTTTGTGGTCAGTAGAGGGACAGAAGATGGCTCTTGTTGTGTCTAGTAAGAAGAAGTTTGCTTCCAGGAAAGTGGCCATGCTTCCAAAGTCTTGACCAAGGCTGGGGTTTTGGATGATTAGTGCTCTTTGTTCTCACCTGGTGTGCCTGTGAAGGGTGTATTATTTCTAGCATCTTCTATCTGGTGCACTTGGCATAAGGACAATTCTGCAGTTTTTCACCTAGAGCATGTACAATTTTTTACCCATCTAGTCTGAGCATAGCCTTGAATGGGAGAAATGATCAAGCCAAAGGAATTGCTCACCCGAGAGTTGGGTCTGAGGTGGATTGTTGGGGTGATAGGTCACCGTGAGCTTGGCTACCACTTGTGGTTTGTTGAACAACCTGCAGTGTCTTTCTGTGCCCTGAGATAAAATTCCTTTTTCTATATTAAGTAACATTTATTTCTTACCACAGGCATAGCTCTGTAGCCAAAATGCAGAAAGATCTGACTGAGTACTCAGTCAGGTCTCTGAGTCCTTTCTGCTCCTTGCAGGATAAGCTGTAAGGTTTGGAACGAAAATGCATGTTTTTGGTTGTTTGTTTTTCCAGTGTTGGCAGATCTGGCACTTCAGAGGAAAAAAAATTATAAGGGCCATTTTGTGGGGGTAACAAAGACACCTTTTGCTAACTCAGAGGTGTTGCAATAAATAACTCAGCAGGATCATGTGTCCTTATTTTACTGTATTCTGAAAAGTGCAAACTTTGCATTGCTTAAAATAGTAAGTGAACTTTGATTACCCTTCAGTTCTTCTTGACTGCACCTCTGCCTCAAACCTCCCTGTGGAAACCACCCAAGAAGAGAAGAACGTCTTCTCCTAGAGCTGCTGCTCCCATTTCTTTCTTCATCATTAATTCTGGTGCAGGAGGGAGTTCCTGTTTTCCTGTTCCTCCATACATCAGTGCCTGCCTGCAGGAGATGCAGCTCCTGCTCCTCTGACATGAGGAAAAGCAGGTTGTTTCTTGTTGTGTTTTTTTTTTTTTCTAAGTTCTGCAAAACAGGAATAAATATTTTTAGCGTCTCCATTTTAATGGAGATGCTAAAACAAGCTGTTTATGGTGGGTGTCTGGCTGAAGGCTTTTGTTAGTCACTGCTGGAAGCACAGCCATGAACAGGGCTATAGCATGTTTGGCAGAGCTCTGTCTTTGGGACGGTTCACAAGCACTCAAGGTCCTTGGGTGACACAGGTAAGCTATGCTCTTAGGTGCACTCATTTCAGCAGCAATCAAAACAAAACAGGAAGAAGGTGGGAATGCTGTGGCTTTTGTAGCAAAGTAGAGAAGCAGGCCTACTGCAAATATTGGCAAAGATTGATTGGATTACAGCTTGCTTGGGAGGAGCCACTGTTTTAATTTCTCCCTTCTTTTCCTGACTCTGCCAGAGGTACAACATGTGTGCTTGCTGAGGGCCAGGGAAAGGTGAGGAGGCTTCAAGAGGAATGATACTGAAAGGTAGGAGTGCAGCAGGTGTGACTGAAAACTAGAGCGCTGCTGATAGTGAGTTGGTGTGTTTAAAAAATAAACAAAGTTTGTGCTGTGGCAAGTGCATTTCAATAACCAAAATATAGCTGTTCTATTTCTCAGTAAGCAAAACCCACTTTGGGTCCCAACTGAGGAATGTAGCCCTAGGTGCTCAGAGAAAAGGGGCCTGCAGCTAAGGCCCTTTTTTCCTCTCCCCATGGCCCAGATGGTTGGTGCAGGGATGTGGCTTACTGTTGTTCTTTGTGGGTAGCTGTGTGTATGGAGAGGCAGCTAAGGCGGGGGAAAAGTCAATCTTTTGGTTCTGGAAAGCTTTTGGGTATCTCAACATCGACTGGAAGAGGTTGGATATTGCTGTAGCTCTCAGTAGATTTGGATTTTCAGAAACTCCTCTAGCCTGGAGCAGCAGCCCTCTAGATCCCTCTCTGATCAAGCGTGTAGTACGTCAGAGAGATGCTGCAACCCATGAAGCGATACAGGGATTAGCAGTAAAAGCAGACATTCTGTTTTCTTTCTGCTTCTGCTCCTTCTCTTAAAATTCTCTTATAGTTTCCTCCCTTATACAAATACAGATCAAGTGTGGTTTAATGTGCAACTTATTTTAAATTAAGAGAAAGAATGTGCAGGCAGAGCTACTTTTTCTTTCCTGTGTAGGGGGAATGTGGGCTCCAAAATAAGGACAGAAAATTCTCATCCATTCAAAGGTACCACAGATGGGTAAAATAAGTGTGCTTATCACATATATCAAGCTTGGA